GGTTAGGCTTTTGAGCCAAAGGCTTTGGTTGAGGACCCTAATCGTCCTCCTGTCTAGGTGTGGGCGCCCTGGCAGTATCCCAGCCCTCGTACAACCATGACCTACAACTAAAGGTCCTTCGGTCAGATAACTGACAGTCAAATGACCCAGCGACGTTTGTTTTCATGGTGAGAAGGCGTTGGGGAGGGACATCGGTGGACACAGAACTGCGGGGACTGTTAGCCCAGGCTGAGGAAGGGATTTTGGTTGAGATACCCCACCTTGAGCCTTTGACTCAAAAGTCCGACCCACAAGGCGGTGGGAGGATGTAGGGTTCTGTTCAGGGATCTTGCCCCTAGCCTCTGACTCAATAGTCTGACCTGCATGGATGCAGGGGGTTGGTCTAACCCGAAGGCGCAGTGAATAACGCATTACTGTCTCATTCCTGACGCGGCTGCCCACAGCAGGAGCATCGGACTCTTTGGTTTTAAAGGAATTTGGACCGCACTGAATAATAAGCCGGTGGGTAGGACAGTTCGGTTTTAAGGGCCAACATTCTCTAACACGTCCTTCTTCGGGGGGAGGCGGCATCTTAAATAGGGACAGGGTGATCTCCTGAGGAAAACACCTCACTGCCTTCACACTCCTATCGCAGAGGACAGTACAACTTTGCCCTCCATACTACCTTGTATCACGATTACCCGTTGTACGAGGTCTCGCTGCTCTTGGTCTGACTGCTCCCCTTCGGCTTTCCTAGCATGGTTGCATCTTGTGGAGCGAAGTTCCAGCCAATATAGCCCACGAGATAATTGCAGCGTTCAAGTCCGACCATCACGCCAAAGTGGCAGCGTCAGGTCGGAACAACGTCATCCGCAATGCGCCTGGAGACGCTGCAAGGCCGGCCGATGGGAAGGAATCGTTTTGCTGTAGCACCCTTTCGGAACCTAGCTTCCACGCCACCAGGAGGAAGCACAACGCCTTGGATACTGCCAGGTTGTATAAGCCTAGACAGTCGAGATGCAGAGTTCGGGTTCTAACCATGGATCTTCTGGCGAGTAAATTCGCGCTTCCACGACTGGGGAAGCATGCCCTGCAAGATGTGACCCCTAACTGATTTCACTGACGTTGCTCTAATCGGTTTCTATACGGTTTGTCTTAATGAGTGTTTGGAGGTGTAGGCACCTTGAAATGATTTTGACAGATTAGAACCAAGTCCCTTCCTCGTCAACTTTTATTATTTTCCCAAGGGGTCACGTAAGTTAATGGAGCGGGGGAAGAAACTAAGAGGGATGAGGCCAGGTATCATCAATGGCGGACTGCATGTATGGCTCTGTGACAAGAATGCAACAATGAGTCGAGGTGAATTCTGCATAAAAGGGTAGAAGTAGAACTGGGAAGCTACACGGGTGACTAAGCCCATGGCTGAACAGGGGGCGAGATGGCCCAAGTGGTTAGAGCGCGAATTTACTGACCGGAAGGTCCGTGGTTCGAGTCCGACCTCTGCCACTCGACTTCCCCAGTCTAGGCTTGGGCGACCTGGCAGTATCCCAACCCTCGTGCAACCTTCGGGTGGCACGGCAGTTAGGCACCGAAAAGGTGCTACAGCTGAAAGATTTTTTTTGAAAGATGGCTGAACAGACGGCCAGACAAGCACGCAAACCGAACCAGTCAACAATGCATACTCACTCTATGGACAGCAATTCGCACAACACGAACATTGAAGGAGAGAGCCCATGTATTTTCTGTCACACGTACTACTGTTGCCTTCCTCAGTCACGATACAAATCCAAATGAGGGAATTAGCCAAGTGAACTTTTGATCAGCCAGCAAAGTTGAAAATCACGTGGAAGCTCTGTTGCTGGAATCGACATCAGTCGCAAAATCCCAAAAGGACGAAAAGGCCTCCGTTCCTGGAATCTGAGCTCGCAGTACAACCATCCATCTACTACAAGAGCCTATCTCATGTCCCTGCCCAGTTAAAAAAATTGAATAATTGTCGCGGTGTGTAGATGTGGCTGACCTGGTCTAGAAAACTATGGTTCAGGATTTCCCCCGCCACTGTCAATCATTGGGCAAGTACCTTGAGGAACAGCAGGATTTCCGTTCAAACCGTTCAGATGTAGCACCATTTCGATGCTTAACTGCCATGCCACGAAGGGAGCACGTGTTGGGACAATGCCAGGCTTCCCAAGCCTAGACAGAGGGCGGAGGTCGGGTTCGAGCTTCAGACGTTCCTGTCAGTAAATTAGTGCTCTAACCACTGAGCCATTCCAACAATGCAGCATGAGTTTTGAAAACAAAGGTCTTCACCACTCTGGGATACAAGAAGAAGGAACTTTGGCGGAGTTGAGACTGACACTACATGGTAGTTGACCGGGTGCAATACCCAATTCTGTTGAGAAGGCTGGTTATCCTTGAAATTGAAGGTTCAGCGTGAGGACTCGGGTAAACGGCACGTTCTCTGATCGCTTGATTGATCCAGATGAAGTCCCATTGAAGTTCACATCCTTTCCCCATCGTTTTCAACCACCTGTCCGCACCCCTTCCCCCACATGTCAATTGCTTGCAGATTATATGAAGCTCTAGAAAGCTAGTAGTTGTTCCATTGACCACCAGCTATGAAAAGAGCTGGAAAATGGAGAGTCAACTACCCAACACTCAACAGTGGATGCACTGACTCTCACCCATACAACCAAACAGATACCCATTGCAACCAAAAACGCATAAAACTCACAAACATATTTCAGCACAAGTTGCAGGAGCCTCGATGATGAACACGTGTTTCAAGGTCGTACGCTCGACTCACATGCGACCGAAGTTTGTTAGAACTAGCACGACGTCCTTTAAGGTCTCTCCGTTGCCACTACTCTGCAGCGTAAAGCTTGTGTGGTGATCGTAAATACTGAGTCAGCTCCCCAGTGCCATAGAAACTGCTAACTTCCGAGGCCACAAAAGCCGCCAACACACATCTTAAGGCTTCCAGCAGAACTACTACACCTTTCGTGGTTATTCCCTCTCGAACTCCGCCCCGCTGTTTCCACCAGAGTTCAATTGCAAACCGGATATTATCCAGCAACAGATGTTATCATGAAATCACATCCTACCCGCCCGAGATCGTCTCTAAAACTGTTAATCCATGTAGAACTCGAAGTCTCCTCTCGGATCAATAAAGATTAGGTGAACTTCACCTGTTTCTCTCAGGTCAAGCAGACGACGTGCGAAATAACCCTCCTCCAGGAGTTGCCAACGGTTAAACTAGTCACCATAAGTCCCCACTGTTTCATGGATCCACAGACGAGACACAGGACCGAGGCTTCCTCCAAGCAACTCAGGTTGGGCAGAAACCTCGATCAAATGTATCCATCTGTTAACATGTGAGGGGTTGTCGAATTTCACATATTCACGGAATTCCACGAAATTCCTGGGTCAACCTTCTTTTCGCCCGATTGATCGTAGTTTCCCTCTCTGCTTTAGGTATGGTGTGGACATTGGTGACTAGTCCATCGACGTTCGAGCTCAAACTGGTTTCACATAACACACAAAATGGTACCATTCATCGTTGGTAAGTGAGAAATGGCGTACCAAAATCAAGCAGTTTACATCCAAGGGAAAACCCCAAACCACGCGGCACGTTTGTTCACGACCTTGAGTTCGATGTTGATGCATCCAATCTTCGACAGAACTTAGGTATGCGGAAGATTAGAAATGACAAAGAAATACAAGATTTTTGCATCGTTGAGCCGCAACAATCCAGTTTAAGTGCAGATTTGATGGCCTTTTCAACTATAAGCCTGTCGTTTGGTGAGATTTTTAATCCCAGATAAACATTACTCGTTCAAAACGGTTTGGAGGATAGAAACTACTTCAAAGCGTGCATACGTTTATAACTAAAGAGGGGCAAACTAATAAGGTAGCTTTACTACTGTAATCAGAGCCAAGACACCTGAAGGTACTTTTGTATTTGGTTGCGCTTCTCGCCCGCGCAACTTCATCCACGAATTATGAAGGCGGACACAGAGCTTTCTATCCCGAGTCCCTTGGCTGCCGGACAGGTAATTCTGCTCGCTGATGCTGCAGCCAAGCGTGCCATAAGCTCGCTACTGGGCAGACTCATCTAAGCGCAAGGGTTATAATCTCAGCTCCGCTTTCCGAGAGGGCATGAGAACATGAGAATCTTCAAATAAAAGCCGAATATGGACAGCTCCTTTTGGGGTGGTCACAGAAAGGAAAACAAGCAAAACTTAGGAACTGCGGCCACTTTTTCATATTTAACTGCCACTTGGTGAACTGGCATCCCAAATATGAAGTCTAGGTCTGAGAATTGCGCTGCTGAGGCGCAAAGCTGGGTCACTTTTGTTCTGGGGGTACAACTGCTGTTTTCCTGCCGAAACACAAATAAAATTCTACTGACCGATCAGCGACAAACACCGATTTTGACGTCGATAAACCGCTGGGAATGCTCCGACAGCTGAATAACCATGCCGTACGAAAGTTTCTGTAATTATACTTCGGTGGGCAGTCGCAGAAAAAAGATGATCACCGGCAAACCCTCTTCTGAAAGTCCAATACTTCCATCTCTCAAACAAACTCCGTTAAAAATGGTCACTGCAAAGAACAGCGCAGTAATCATTCGTAAATTCAGGAGCTGAAGCCATCAATCAGACAACACTGTCCCAGAAGATCCTACGCGCATCGAGTTGGCCGCTTTGATCTCGAAGTAGCTCCGACGCAAAACGAAGTAATCACGGTTGACACCAAACCTTGGGCTGGTCATTGATTTCAGGTTTCAGTCTATTAAATATACCCACAGCTGGTTGCTTTTAAAAAAGAATGCATTTTGGTGGTTATGCGCAACCACCTAATTGCCCAAAGAGAATCTAGCGACCGGATTGGTGTCACTCGCCTCGACAGGTAAACTTGAAAGCTGGCAGAATGCACCTTAGAGCGAGTCATTCTGATTTGCCTCATCAGCGAAATCTTGTTATGGTGGTGCCGCAAACTATAACCAGCTCGAGCACGCAGCTTGGCTTTTGGTGTTTTCGCTACTGTCAGTGATTTGGTTGCTCGCATTTCGTCGCCGACCCAGTTGATGCTGCCTGTTCTGGAATGGGGAGTAAACAACTTCTCTTTCGTCTGTGCGTATTTAAGTTCTGAACAGTATCTGATACCACTCAATTAGGCGGTCGGTTCAGGAGTGGTTTTAGCGTAGTTTGGTTCACCACTTTGGAATCTGAGTTGCGTTTTGATTTCATTTTTTATCGGTTCGTTCAATTTGACACTTTCGAGATTGGGTTATTAATTAAAAACGTCACACATGTGATCTTGGGCGCCCGGGACACTGATCGCCTTCTGGCCTATAAACACATTCCGGAGCAGTTACTGAAAACTACAACGGGACTGGAGATAAGGAAGAAGACGAACATGATCCTTAACCCCAACTACAACGGCTTTGACAAAAAATGTCTGCCAGGCTTGGAGAAAATTTGCCAACAGAATACAGCAACAAAATTTTCCAACAGAAGACATATTCCACTGTCACTTGTCGCAGTTTACGGGGATAGCAAAAAACATCAACTCGCTTATAGTAGCGTCCAACTATTGCTGACTCAAGAGCAAAAGGCGAACGGAACCCCGACGAGGCGTGGCATTCCGCACTGAAATCAGTGAGTAGGTGCTCCTATGGCGACCCAACCAATTAGTCGCCATGTGCTAAATAATTACACGCTTTCAGAAAGACGGATCGATTGGCTCATAGGAAGTCATTAAAAAGAGGTTAGGAAATAAATCAACCAGGTGGAACTGGATGGACTATGCAGCAAGAGGGAAATGACCTCTTGGGCGCCGGGACACTGATCGCCTTCTGGCCTATAAACACATTCCGGAGCAGTTACTGAAAACTACAACGGGACTGGAGATAAGGAAGAAGACGAACATGATCCTTAACCCCAACTACAACGGCTTTGACAAAAAATGTCTGCCAGGCTTGGAGAAAATTTGCCAACGGAATACAGCAACAAAATTTTCCAACAGAAGACATATTCCACTGTCACTTGTCGCAGTTTACGGGGATAGCAAAAAACATCAACTCGCTTATAGTAGCGTCCAACTATTGCTGACTCAAGAGCAAAAGGCGAACGGAACCCCGACGAGGCGTGGCATTCCGCACTGAAATCAGTGAGTAGGTGCTCCTATGGCGACCCAACCAATTAGTCGCCATGTGCTAAATAATTACACGCTTTCAGAAAGACGGATCGATTGGCTCATAGGAAGTCATTAAAAAGAGGTTAGGAAATAAATCAACCAGGTGGAACTGGATGGACTATGCAGCAAGAGGGAAATGACCCAGTCACAACAGATAAATAGATCTGTCGATCTGGGTTCCCGACGAACCAACCGGGGGCAATGGAATGGGATCACGGTGACCAACTAAATTACGCGAATGTTACCTTATGACAAATCGATCACTTCAGAGTTACTAGTTGCTGCTTAGAATTCGTAAAACCATTGGTGGAAGAGGAGAAATTCACCCACTCTAGCATGCACTGAAAATGCCAACTCGGTTGGTGATAGAACGTGTGCAGTCCAGCTACCGAAGAATAGACCACCTGCATCTTGCTATCTTCAGCCCAAAGTGCATTCCCGACCAACCATCTTTGCATAACGAACGAGCTTCCATTGATGGATAGCTTAACAATGACAAAGGCGAGAAACGCACATCGTTGTCCTTTTTGACTTCTTGAAAGAGTTCATTCGGGATGCATGAATCATACTGTTCCAAAAACTCAGGGCTCGTGGGAGCTCAGGGCAATAACTGGGCCTAATTAAAGGTTTCCTTTCAAGTAGAACGTTCCCAATGAGTTTTATTTTAACCCAACATTCTTCAACAACCTTTGTTACATTTCTCCGTAGTCATAATTTAGGGCTCCTTCTCAGTATTTTACGTCTATGACCTGTCAGTTGCTCCCCCAAGCCCATATTTACTTTTTGCGAATGGTCGTCCATTTTGGAGTTCTGAAGCCAGAATAATTTGAATGAATGTCAATGCCGCAATTCAGCGGCCACTGGACTGGAATCTTCTTGATCAGGAAAGGATGCCAACAGCCGCTAGGAGGGGAACTCAGGGAGCGCTTGGCTGTGCATTGTCAAAACGGTCCAGCAGATATCATGAAAACGGAAGCCTAAAGGGACTTAAACATATAAGTCACTTTAAGTCACTCAAAAAATCCGCCAAAAAGGAATCGTTTTTCTTTGTGTGAAAGGGTGCACTCTACCGAGTCAATATCACACCGCCTCTTGAAAACTTTGCCAAGTTCCATACTCAAGACGTAAAAAGAACGTGGCCCCAATCAAGATTCTTCACCTCAGCTTCAGTCCTTTCATTAAAAATGTGTCAGTTCCTAAACATTTTTTCTGTCATCCTCCTAAACATTTTTTCTGTCATCCTTCCGGAAGTATGTCCAATAGTTTTCTCTGGTTTACCATAGTACGGCAGAGATAGGACAGGAAGCCATTCAAGCTTACATCTCATGTTTTTTGTCTTGAGATGCGTGAAATAACCTTAAGCCAGCATCTAACCAAACCTCATCCGGGCTGTATTTCAAACTTCATAGACGCGTCTTATGTAAGCCCTTGCACTGGCATAGTTACTGGTCAAGCTGAGAAACTGAACGGAGAGGCTACGCACTCTTTTGACTTCTGCAATTCGGTCATGTCAGAGCGGCCGCAAAACGAGAACGAAACCAAACGCGGAAACTGAACGACACCTTAGTCTGGTTTACGGCTCCGTGATTGCATGCTTACAGGACCCTAGGACGAGAAACCACTTTGTAGGGACTGAAGCATAGTTTGCATCATTTTCCAGTGTGCGTGTCAAAGCCGCCCATGGTCGTCCCGCCTAGAAGCCCTCAACCTACCCTTCCACAAAGCCCCTGAAAAGGAGTTCCTCACATGCTTCAAACATCTTTACTTCACCTGAAGAGGTTTCCTCCGGCGGATAGCCCGCGGATTAATCAGAAACCCTACCCTGGACTGACCACGTTTCTTTTTTGGCAATAATCCATTCAAATCGCTGTGTAATGGTCCTTGCAACATCACTTACAGCAAAGCTTCATCGACATTTCAGTTGCTACGCATCAGAATCACATGCAACACGTACTTATTATTGCCTTAAATGATAAACGAAACCACAAACTCGTGTGACATTTATCCAGGAGGCTACCTGAAGGCCGGCTGATCACCAGTCACAAGCTTGCAAGATTTCCTGTGGCGTCCGATACCTTAATACTAACGACACCAACCTCGTAAAAGGAATGACGCTTTCTTCGATCACTCTGAAGATATGTAGAGTCTTGGTGACATTAACCACCCTGCGCCAATCGACAAATCTACCCGTTAAGTTGAACGACGTAGATCACGCAGCATATCTGCTTCTTCACAATTTCCTTGCCCAAAAGCGCCCACTTAAAACAATGACCTCAAGATGATTGGAGTTGGTGCACACGTTGCTACCTACCGCCAGCTAACTCAGGGAGAAGATCGCCGCCCAGAAAACCACAGTTTGCTGTCTACCTCGCTCAGAACGACTGCCTAACCGAAGCGATCTGCCAAGGATCCCACCGTACGCAATTTCTGTAGCAGAGTGACC